CGGCGCGTGTCTGGGATCTGCGGCGGCACGCCGGCCTTGGCGGCCGCCCCGTGCAGCGCCGCCATCGCGGCCCAGGCGGGAGAGCGCGGGCCACGCGGAGCAGCAGCGGAAGACGCCGCCGCCGCCGCCTCCTCCTCCGCGGAAGGCCGGCCCACCGGGCCCGCAGGGGCGGGGCGGGGCGGGGTGGAGCCGGGGCGGGCCTGCCGCGGGCGGAGGGGCCGGCGCCGGCCTGCGGGCGCTCCGGGGAGCGTCCCGAGCGCCGCGGCTGCCTGCTCGGGCTGCGGGACGGGCTCCGGCCGCCCCTCCGCGCTGTCCCCAGCGAGGCTCCGCCGCTTCCCGTTGGGTTCGCCTTCTCCCTCGAGAATGGGGCCGGCCTTCCGCGGAGCACGGCCTGGCAGCAGCGGCACCGCGGCTGTGAGCCGGGGAGCCAGCGCGGGCCCGCCGCGGAAGGAGGCGAGCAGCGGCGGCCCGTTCCGGAGCGGCGGCCGAGACGCGGCACAGCGAGCCCACGGAGGCCGCGCAGCAAGCGGCCTAGCGGGCGCGGCGGGGCCCGGGTCGCTGCCCCCGCGCCGCCGGGCTCGGCGCCGTTGCGGTGACGGCGAGCGCGCTTTCCCACTCCTGGGCTGGTGCTGGAAGGGGCAGCGAAAGCAGCGGTGCAGAAGGCTGGGCCGGCCGCTCCCGGGAAGAGCTGGCGGGCCAAGCTGCAGGAACAAAGGCCCTGCGACCAAAGCCTTAGCACGCGCTCTTTTGGTTCGAGATATATTTTGATCGATAACCAGTTAGGATAAAAATATGAGACACGCAGAATGTACACATCACCAAAAATACCATTTTGTGAACTTTTCAGTCTTGCCAAGAAAATTGGATCAGAGCCCCAAAGGAATACCAAGATCAAGATTCACCCACGGGCTGTCTCAAAACATAAAGAAGTGCCAAGGGTCAGTTGTCTCCAGCCAGAGGCTCCATGTGGATACCGAGGAGTTGGGAAGCATGGAGGCCTGTGCATCCATTCCTTCACATTCTTCCTTTGATCAAACCCAGGTTTGCAACAGTCAAGATCCTTGGACTATGGTACAAGCCCAAATATAATTTCCTCAAAAATGGTTTGAAGGTGGAAACATTTGGATTCTCATCCTGAATTGATATAAATGGACCCTTTCAAATTATCCTAAACACATAGGTTTTTAATATGAAAAGAAGCACAAATTGCATCTTACTCAAATTTTAGGTAAGTTCTACCCCAGTCTCTGTACCATGGGTATAATCCAAATAATTTCTCGTGATTTTGATCAATCAAATTTTAGAGAAATGAGAGATTAGCTTTGCTAGATTAAACAAAATAACAACAGTGAGGGCATTCAAACTATATTTAGAAATCCTTTATTAATAGGGATTCAGAAGTTTAGAGATATTACTGTCCAGAAGTGTCTGCTTCACTAACTGCTTGAAAACCTGCAATCTGATCCAAATAGTCCATGAAAAACATAACACACACATCATATTGTTCCACACAGACAAACCACACACACACCTAAGTACGCAATACATGTATGCAAACAGAAAGTGAGGGCCAGAAAGGAACATCACTGATTCAGGTGTAGCAAGTTGTGTTTTCTTTATTGCACTGTACCTGTGCACAAAGCTGCAGGAATAGAAAAAGTTTTCAGGACACGAAAAGGTTACTGTGGAACAAGTTCTTGTACCTTCCCATTAATTACTACACTGGCTTCCTCTTGCTACCAGTCAGCTATTAACAGGTTTAAGAAAAGTACACTAGATTTAAATATTCTGTAGGAAATTATACCCCCACACTAAATGAAAAATAGATCCATGGGACAAACCAGGTGTCACAAAAACAAATTCAACCCCCCACCTCACCACTAGGAAGGCCAGAAAGACACTGTGGGCTCTTTCTTTTCACCTCAGACCTTACTGCCTGGAATCTGCAGAGTATCTCATTGAAAACCTATTTTGATGCAAAATTGCCTATATGAGCCATAGAAATCCATACAAGTTTCGTGTTTCCTTTTATCTTAACACTTGTATAAGGACAACAAGAGATGTCATACAACACCCAACTAGCATTTGTCTATCCCAAAATTCTACTTAAAAAAATAAGTAGCATCTATATTTAAACAGTTTACAAGCCAAAACAAAAGAAGGAACAAAAGAAGAGGGTGGGTTATTTGGAAAAGGCCCTGCTTTGTCCAGTATGCTTTGTTGCTTGGAGGTTTTATTTTAAAACTGAAGATACAGTGAGGAGCTCTAGGGCCATGGCTGCTGTCCCAGGCAGTCACCCAGGAAGCGCCCTGGCTGGGTCCTTGCACCGTCTGACAGACAAGAGTCGCCCATAAAACAACTGTGGCTTTACCAGTCATTGCTTTTAAAACATCAACACAGTGAATGTATGGAAAGTTCCCAGAACAAGCCAGAATGTGCCCAGCAACAGACAGCAGAATTTAAGGCAGTGAGAGGCATCAGTGCAGCCATACTCCCAAAATCCACCCTAAGGATTAGAGCGCAGCTGCAGAAAAGGGTTCAGTCCACTCCCTAACATGCTGTCAGGTAGATTCCTCCTCTTCTTCCTCCTCCTCCTCCTCCTCCTCCTCCTCTGTCTTGTCCACCTCTGTGGTATCTGATGACTCATGCAGGAGGACATACTCCCTGCTGCTGAACCCGAATTTCAACACATCCTTCTCTTTCAATTCATAATAGCGCTGGGGCTCAATTCGCTGGTTATTCAGAAATGTGCCATTGCCTGAGCCAAGGTCAATGATATACGGTTTCACCTTTCGGCCGGCTGTGCCATCTGGGCGGGTATATTCCACGAGCCTTGCAAGAAACAAAGAGTCATGTTGAATAGAAGCAAACTTCCATTAAGAACAGCTCTCACACTGCCTCTGATCTTTTGGTTTCTCCTCCACACCCCTCTTTCAATTCTGCAGAGACCACATTTTTGCTCAAGCAGCAGTTCTGTGCCCCTCCCAACTGAGGGAATACCTGTCTCCATGTGCAGCCTGTGAACTTGTGCCCAGATGGTTTTGATGCCAAGATTCCTGATTCCACCAGAGATTCTCTTCAAAACATATTGGGACCAGCCACCCATTCCTGTTGGTTGCCTTTCCCACCTCCCTTCCAGAAGGAACATTCTTCATTTAGAAAGCAGTCATAGCAGACAATGATCTCTTCCTTCCTAGCTCCCTCAATCAAGTTGCCCTCACTGAATCCAGGTGTCATCTCTCTGTCATGTACTGGGTTCACACAACAAACAACCAATCATTACAATCTGTGGGATCTTTTAAAATGAGAACTTGGAGGAAGATCTCGGGAGTTTGGACTGAGATGTGCTCAGAGTACAAATCCATCCAATTCCTAATTAAACCCTCATTTTAAAAAGACCCCAAGCCATGAAAGCTATCTGTCCGTGAACTGTCAACTTGGGTTGAGTGCAAAAGGGGATCCTCCATGGGCATTAAAGCAGGGAAGTTGTGGGAGAAATTTGTCAGGCATCCCTTTCTCAGCAATACATTTACCATGTCTTGAGTTTCTGGCCAGTCAGGAGGAAGGTGTCCAAGCCATTACTGGACAATCTGCAGGAAACGTACCTGCTGTACCTGGACGGCAGGAGCCCACCCTCCCCCACCTGGGACCTCAGCAAAGGCTTGAAATGCTCTCAGTCGGAGAGCAACTTGGCATTAATGGAAGTAAAAAATAAATCTAAAATGTTGATTTGTGTGCCCATTTCTGAACTCTCAAATATTCCTTCTAAAGTAGTGCTGTGGTACCATGAATGGGAAGCTGGATACTGCCTAAACAGGGAGCAGGAAAGCTGGTTGTTTTTCCTGATTTGTGAGGATTTTTTTTAAAAAAGAAGAAAGTTATGCCTTTAAAGGAAAGCAACTGAAAATGGGTCAACTTCATTGTGGGGAAGGAGAAGGGACTCAACTTTGTCCAGTTCTGGGCACCAAGATTTAAGAAACATGCAGAAAAGTTAGAAAGGGTGCAGAGGAGGGCAACAAAAATGATCCAGGGTTTGGAAACCCTGCCCTACAAGGAAAGACTGGGAGAAGTGGGCATGTTCAGCCTTGAGAAGAGAAGGCTGAGGGGGGACATGGTATCCCTCTCCAAGTATCTCAAAGGCTGTCACAAGGAGGACGGTCAAGATCTCTAAATCTAACATTCTGTGTTGGTAAAGATTAAACAACCCAAAGTCTTAACCCATGCTTTGTTCCTGGGTTAAAATTGAGATATTAGCACTCAACAACCCAGAATGATGGATTTAGCAAAGCAAAGGTAAGAACTTGCTGCTATTTCCTGAGAACCAAGTCCTCGGATGGAAATTCCTTTGTCTGATTATCCTACATTTTCCTTCAGCACTGTACTCTGCTCACCCTCTCCACATTTTGCATTGTCTTCCTTCCACCTGATCCACCTGTCTCCTTTCTCCCCCCTTCTTCAGTTTGCACCCACAATTTACCCTTGGCCTCAACTCTCAGTGCAGTTCCCTCATTCTTCTACTAAGCCATTTGCTCTTATTCCCAGCCTGGCTTTCTCTGTCAGGTGTGCAGCTGAACACCTCTAGAAAACCAAGAGCTGACTCTTCTGCCATCAGCCTCACATGACCTTTGAGTCTGTCCCTTCCCTGTCCTCTTCAAGGTTTTGCTTCCTTTTCTTATACTTTTCTCTGTGAAATGAATGCATTTCTCTTGTGTTTCCCGCACCCCACCATCTGTTGTGGAATCATGCTGCTTCTCGATGAGCTGCTTTATACCAATACTTGCTTCTCAGCACTTCTCTGCCAAACGTACTCATTTCTTTAATTGCTCTGGCTGTGCAGTGACACTTTGTTATATGCTGCACTGATTTTCTTCTCTTGGCTATTGTGCAAACTTGTCTTTACCTCAAAACCCCCAAAAGCTTTTCCCACTATTCAATGGCTCTTTACTCTTACATCCCAATAATCCCTTATTATGGAGCATTTGCTCCTCCATCGCCACCATCCTCAGCTGTCCAAAGGCCTCTTGCTTCCTGAAACAACTAAGCCCGTATGACCTCTGAAGCCGAGAACTTGATTCCAGAATGGCCCATATATGATCATCTTTTCCCTCAAAGCTCAGTTTCTAGGAACCTCTCAGACCTTCTCCCTAATCTCACTCATAACTGCTGTCACTTCCTCCCCCGCCGCATTTGCACCAACATTCACTCTTCCTATGTGTCTCCATGTCTGTTTTAATCCCATACGCTAAGGAGCTCAGTCCTATTCTCTGTACAGTGTCACGGACACAGACACTATTAACAATAAATCTATGTCACACATTACTGTACTAATGAACTAGTAAGTAATCAAACCAAGATTTCTTCAACAGACAGAGAGCATGTTCATTTGAGTAGCTAATCAGTAATGAGTGCAACCCTTTTCCCCCAATACGGGATGCCCCACCTGACTTTTCTTAATCAGTAAAATCACAGTAAGAACTATTCTCTCAGAATGTTCTCTGTAAAAAGTCAATTTTTAAAAATGGCAAAACCCACAGTAAATATGTTTAGCAGAAAGCTGCTGGACAGGAATGAAAGGCAAGCAGGAGGCACACTCCTGGCTAACAAAAGGACTCAGTAGAAGCCATTCAGTGTTTCCTGTTCTGTGCCATGCAGATTACAGAAAGCAAATCAGAAGTGGCCCCTCATACTTTACAGATGGCAAAGCACCTCTGCCCCTGCCAAAGCTTACCGATACTGAAAGACAGCGTGCTGCTTGGAGCATGAGGGATGGTCAATGGGGATATCAGCAATGCGCCGGTGCCTGCCCAGCAAATAGGCACTCTGCCTATGAATATACATAACTGGGAGAACCTCATCATTCTTAAAAGGGTATAGACGCCATCGTTTTTTGGGGATGCGAGCTTCTGGGGGCTCTGTGTATTTGATCACAACACCACGGAAAGTGTTAGAATCTTCCAAAAGTGCACCAGACAGGTCAAAGCTTGGCTTTTCTTTACTGCCAGGCTCTTTGTCTGTGTTCTTGTTGTTGGCCCCCTTTGCTTCCTGATTCTCCTCATCACCACTTGCTTCCACTTGTTGACGATGGTCACGCCGTCGTTCATTATAGAATTCCCTCTGTGCCTGCTGATCCTGGAAACGATGAGCATCTCTTTGCCTTTCATGATTCCCAGGCTGATCTCTATGAGACTTCCTCCGGCCTGAATGGCCCTGGTGTCTGTCTTTGTCATTGCTTCTCTCCCGCCTGTGCTCAGGCTCAAAATGATCTCGATGCTGCCGTTCTTCATGACCCCTCCGAGGGCGAACTTCTCGCTCCTGCAAGGGTGAAACAATAACAAGAAAGTTTAAAATCAAATTAAGCAACATTAATCAACACGGACTTTCAGTATTACTTTTAGAATTAAGCTTGATCTTTCAGTTCATACTGCAACAAATTGATTTGATGAAGACAACAGGCATAATAAAATTAAAACAAGTTTAACTACCTCAAAATTAAAATGGAAGCCACAAAACCTTGAAGGACCAGGTTACAGAGAACTGACCATGTTAGCCTTGTAACATCTAAAAAGCTAACAAATGCATTACAGCACAACATTTTGTGGAACTTGGAAAAAATCTTTAATGAGCCATCTTGCTACAGGGATGGACAGCTCCCAGTTCTCCAGATGCTTTGACTTACAACTCCTAAGATCCCTCAACTCTGGCTCTTCTGTTTGGCGTTGATGGGCATTCCAGACCAAAGCATTGAGAGAATGACAAGTTTCCTGACCATTAGAGCATTTGTTCAAAACAACTAAACTTTAATGCTCCATAAGACTCTACTGTCATTGAAGAGCCTTGGGAGGAAATCTGCTTTAAAAAGTATCACTGCAAAGTTGAAATGCTAACCACCAAGTTACAAACCAAGCAATGAGACCAAGATGCGTAAGCAAGAATTTTAAGTGTGCTAATATAAAGAGTCCTATAGAAAACAGGTACAGAAACTAGTAAATTCAGCATTCATCCAGGATATAATTTGCATTTCAAAAAAAGCACATCTATGTGCCCATCCTTGTTTTGCTCCAGAGTCTACCCCATTTTCTCTCATATCAAGAACATCGCTATGTAGCAGCTGGATAACCTCAGTGTCCATTTACTTGCTTGACTTTAGCCAGCACATGGTGGGGGCTCCGGCTCCTTTTCTCTCGGGGAGATTTTCTCCTCCTGCTCGAGGACTTGTTTTTCCTTTTAGCGTGGGATCTTGAGAAGAAACAAAGCCCAGATCAGGCAAGCGCACAGCCACCGGCGGAGACGGAGAAACCCGGACCAGAGCGGCCTGCGGCTCGCGCCAACGCCCTGCTTCGATCCCGGCCGCGCGCCCGCCCGGCAGCCGAAGGCGAGAGGGCGTAAGGCGGCCCTCCGGCCCGGCCCGGCCCGGCCCGGCCCGGCCGAGCGCGGGCTTCTCCGCCGCAGCGCCGCGCGAATTCCGCGGGACGAGCAAGGCCGCGACGCTCGCCGCGCGGGGGCCCCCACCCAGCGCCCCGGAGCGCGGGCGCCGCTCTAGCCTCGCGAACATTACCGGCTGGATCCCGCGCCGCCTGGCGGGGAGCGGCTTCCGCGCGGGCTCCGCATCCTATGCCGCCGGCGCACAGGTGCCTCCATGGCGACGGCGCCTCGGTCTCTCCTCTTCGTTCCCCGGTCTCCGCGAGCCGTTCGACCCGGAAGCGCTCGGCCGCTCCCCCGGCGCCCTTCCGCACAGGCGCCTCTCGCGTCGCGGCTGCGCCTGCGCGTACGGCTACCTAGGGAGCGACCACGTGAGCTGGCCGCCCGGTGCGCGTCCGTTTCCGTGGCAACCGCGGCCGCCCGCGCAGACTGTGCCCGGCCGCCAAGATGATCCCCCCCGCGGACTCGCTGCTCCGCTACGAGACGCCGGTGCTAGTGAGCCGCAACACCGAGAAACGGTCGCCCAAGGTACGTCGAGGCGGGGCCGGGGCCGGGGGCCGGGGGCCGGTCCCGCAAGGACCGCGCTGGCCGGGCCGGGCCGGGCCGCGTGCTCTCCGTCCCGGCCGACCCGCCTCAGCTGCGCTCGCTCCGCTCCCCGCAGGCCCGGCCGCTGAAGGCGACCCCGCAGGTGCAGCCGCCGCCGGCGCCCGTCTCGCCGCCCAAGGGCAAGGTGCCGTCGCCCTCCGCCGACCCCAGCAAGTCCGCCGAGGAGATCCTCAACGCCATCCTCCCGCCCAGGTGAGCCTCCCGCCGGGCCGGGGCCTGCGCCCGGCTGCCTCTCCCGGCTCGCTGCCGCGCGGTAGCCCGCGGTGCTCCTGCCTCCTCGAGGGGGGACATGCCTCGCGCTGCCCGCCGCCGCCAGGCCGCCCGCCGACCTCTGCCTGCCTGCTGGCTTTGCTGCAGAGAATGGATGGAGGAGAACCAGCTGTGGATCCAGCAGGTGTCGAGCACGCCCAGTACCCGCATGGACGTCGTGCATCTCCAGGAGCAGCTGGACCTCAAGCTACAACAGCGCCAGGCCCGCGAGACAGGCATCTGCCCCGTTCGGCGGGAACTGTACTCGCAGTGCTTTGGTGAGTGCTTAGCGCTCAGAGAGGGAGCGGTGGGACCCCTTCCCTCCCTCGCATGCCTCCTATCTCCTGTTGGAGGCGGTGTTTTTCATGTTGGCCCTAAATGAAAGATACGTGCCCTCTCTGAGGGGCCTATATTGGCTGCATTTCAGAGAAATCAACCAAGGTGTTCTATTTATTTATCTATTAAACGTCTATTCAGTATTACTTATCTCACAGGACTCTCTAGACAGATTGTTTTTGCTAGTCGCATAGTTGTATCCGACGCATCACTACCCCATGGACAACATTCCCCCAGGCCTTCCTGTCCTCCACCATCCCCAGAGTCCACTTAAACTCACGCCGACTCCATCTAGCCACCTCATTCTCTGCAGTCCCCTTATTCTTTTGCCCGCAATTGTTCCCAGCATTAGGGTCCTCTCCAGTGAGTCCTTCCTTCTCATTAGGCGGACAAGACTGAACATCGACATCTTAGGAATCGGTGAACTAAAATGAACAGGAATGGGGGAATTAAATTCAGATGTCCATCAGGTATACTACTGCGGGCAAGAATCCCTCAGTTGCAGATGTATCTGGTGGTGAAAATAGAGTCTGATGCTGTAAAGATCTATACTCCATAGGAACCTGGAATGTAAGATCCAAGGCCTGGAGGAATGTTGTTCATGGGGTCGCAATGGGTCGGACATAACTTTGCAGCTAACAACAAGAAAGAGCAATCTTTACAGTTTAGGTGTTTGTATGAAGGCTTATCATTCTTTACTTGTGTCCTGTTGTTATGAGAATGACAGCACAGATGTGACCCTACTTAAGATCCCAAATTCTGAAGGATAAATGCATGTTGGGGGAAGGTGTTGGAGGGAGGATGATTTACTCCCCCCCCCCCACTGGTTCTTTGATCTGTTGTAGAGAAATAGTAAATGTCATTTGTCCAGAAACCCCTCTAAGATTTCTAAAGAATAAGCATAGGTGCTTGAAAATAGATGAATAAAAAGTAGTTAAGGCACATTTAGTTTAGTTAGCAAATGCAAAAGGGCAGGACTTGACCATCTAGCATTTTCCAAGGAAATACCCAATGCTGTACCCTCCCAGGTTTGACAGGCATTAAAAAACCTTTCAGTGTTTTTGTTGCTGCAAGACACAACTAGAAAAGAACAATTGGTCAGTTCTTCAGTTTGCCTATTCTGAGGCACTGGAAGCAAGCTCTATTAAAACCATCCACTGTGATTAAGAGCTTGAGCTGGCGGTGGCAAAGCTTGCATTCCCTCCTCCCCAACATGATTGTGTTCCTCATATAGAAAGCTTGGGAAGAAAGGGTTTTTTTTTTAAGAAACCCAGATTTGTGCCCCCCCCACACACACACACAGAAACACACTTCCATTTGGAGAAGCCCCAGCTGGATGTGGATATTTCTTAAATCTATTGGAATCGACTCAGTTCATGATTTGGCCAATTCCAAAGCTCTCCCCTTGTGGATACCTGCCAAGAGCTTCTGGTGGCCTCTGACCTCCCTTCACTCTCAACCTGTCATATTCTTCCCTCTCTGGTTTTTATCTAGAAATAACTGTGATCATTTCTCCTACAAATCTGTTTTACTCTCACTTCCAAATAACTGTTTCTCTTAACTAGGAAATACCTCTAAGATCAGCCAGCGTTCTTAGCGCTGTGCATACAGCCTGCAAGGCTACTCTTAAACACAGCAATACTGGAGAGCAAAATAGCCAATACAATTTGTATTCAAGTCATAAACTGAAGTACTCCTGGGCTTTAAGGTTGCCCTGAAACTCTTTTTGGCTTCCATCTTTACAGGGAATGGAGAGCTCTGTACTTTATTCAGTGATCACCAGTGTACCTTCAGCCTTTTCCCGGACACAGCCTAATTTGTGGCCATTACCTTGCAGATGAACTGATCCGGGAAGTGACTATCAATTGTGCAGAGCGAGGGCTGCTGCTGTTACGTGTGCGGGATGAGATTCGAATGACTATAGCAGCTTACCAGACCCTTTACGAGAGTAGTGTTGCCTTTGGCATGAGGAAGGCACTGCAGGCTGAGCAGGGAAAGTCTGACATGGAAAGGAAAGTAAGTGGAGGTGTGTGGCTCCTGCTCCTCCATACTCGCTGGGCAGAGAGCCATCGGCAAGAGGCGGGGAGGGCAGGAAAGGAAGTGCGGCCCCCAGGGAAAGACAGAAAACTGGAGAGGACCTCTAAGCCCCTCTGTGGTGAAGAAGGCCAACAGCTTGTCTTGAAGAGACAACATGCCAGGTTTATCAAATGCACTTGTGTGTACTGCCATTATTACGGCCACAGGTGCAGTTCATCTCACTGTACAGCCATGTGACAAAACAGGTCCAAAACAGAGCTGCCCAACTCCAGCAACGAAAACAGCTTAATTTTTAATTATACCCACATCTTGCCTGCTTCAAGTATTAACAACACATCTGGAAACTTGGTGGGGATAACTGTGTACCTATTATATCCAAGCCTGATGGTTGTGCTTTCTGCTGTAAGATTGCAGAGTTGGGGGATGAGAAACGAGACTTGGAGAGACAAGTGAATGAGCAGAAGGCTAAATGTGAGGCGATTGAAAAGCGGGAACTTGAAAGGCGACAAGTAGAGGAGAAGAAGCACACTGAGGAGGTGCAGTTCCTGAAGCGGACCAACCAGCAGCTCAAGGTTGGTTGGATCTCCTTTCCTGGGCCTTGTTGGTTCATACCCTGGTTCTAACACGACATTGCATTTAGTCCCAAGGAGGATGGATGCTTTTCCTTTCCCTGAACACGGGTGGATTACTGACTTGGAGAAAAGGGCTACTTTTCCTGTGGGAAGCAATTTGCTTGATAAAACCAGCTTGGCGTGGTCTCTGATCTACCCTGACTGCATGCAGGCAAGGCTGTGTTCTTAGCCTGGACTGGGCAACCTTTCAGAATATTGCAACATAGTCCTAACTTTTGGTATTATGTAGTAATTCTTAAGACTCAGAATACGGTGGTACCTTGGCTCATTAACTTAATCCGTTCCAGGACTCTGGTCGTGAGCCAAGTTAAATTTCCCCATAAGGTTCAATGTAAATAAAGTTAATCTGTAACCATTTTTTAAATCAGAAAAATGTGAAGCAAAGTGACAACAACAAAGATCGTGGCCATCTTCCCCCACCCCAAGCACAAGCACGGCCATCTCCTCGCCCCCACCCCCAGCACCACCGAGATCACACCTGTCATCCCTGCAGGCGCCCATCATCCCGGCACTCTGGGGGGAGAGACGGGCATGATTGCAGGCCCACTGGGGGAGGGAGAGATGGGCGCAAACGGTGCGCTGGGGGTGGGGAGATGGCCGCAATTACAGTTCTGTTCATGCAGGGAAGGCCTGCCTGATCAGAGGAAAGACCGGCAGAATCTCGGCCATCTCCCCTGCGGCTCTGCTTTGCTGCTCCCCTTTTCTGCAGCAGCACACCTCTGATCACGCACGCCTTCCCCGCATGAACGGAACTGCGATCATGGCCACCTCCCCACTCGGGGGGGTGGAGGGATGGCTGCTATCTTGGTTGCCACCCAAAGCGGTGTTCGCAACCCAAGTCAACATTTTTCAGAAAGTTTTGTTCATGACCCAATTTGTTCGTGAACCAAGGCGTTTGTGAGCCGAGGCACCACTGTACCGAGAATGAGTCTGCTCTGTGGAACGCTAAACATGCTTTACTGGCAGAAGCCTAACATAGCGAGGGGCACTAAAGGGGCTCCATGAACAGCAGCTATGATCACACCCTTGTGCGCTGCCCTGGCGATTGGTGTTGTCGATTGCGGCAGTACATCTCCCAGGGTTAGACAGAGCTTTTCAGATTGGTGTGAGCACCTACACCAAGTTACTTGACCCTTGTTTGAATGCTTAGTCGTGAGCCTCCTGAAGTAGGCATTGTGCTTCCTCCTAATTCATGTAACTACTTCACCCCGCAACAATTTAAAGATTCTGAGTTAGAGTAGGGAGAACAAGAGCATTTTTCTTTGCAAAGTGTTGCCTCCTGGGTGAAACTCTATCTACAAGAAAAACTGGCTGTGGCACCTGGCAGCTGCTCACTAACCCATTCTGTTTTCTCCTAATTGAGCATCAAGTGTCTCACTATTCCAAGCCTGAATCTCAAAAGTTGATGCGTCTTTGGACAACCATGAGCTTTTATGGCCAGGCCTGGAAGGAGAGAGTGCAAACCACTGTTTCAGCAACTTTGATTCAATTTCCTCTGCGTTGTTTTACATTATGAAATGAGAATGTCATTGCCAGGAAAGAATGCCAGCTCATCCCTTCCTTCCATAACACAACAGATCTGCATGCCAAGAATGAGTATATCTAATTTATACAACATGTGGTGGTAAGAAATGTAAGAATGAGAAAAAAATCCTGACTTGTTTCTTTCCCTCAATACTACACCAGCTGCATCATACACACCTTTTGGCAGAAGTAAGAAACTATTAATTGCCTTCCTTTCTTTTGTATTTTAGGCACAGCTGGAAGGAATCATTGCACCAAAGAAGTAGCGCATCCTACAGCCTAACGCAGAAGAATAGATCAGTTCCCAAATTGCTTCCTCTAATTTGGATCAACTAAGATTCAAGCACTTCCATACTTCTAATAATTTCTTAACTGGTTTGGGCTTTGACTTATTAGTTCATACTCACTGGGAGATTTTTTAATGCATTAGTACTTTTGACTGTTAATACTGTTGTCAATACAGCAAGGCAACAGGCTGTGCCACATTAAATGACATCACAATTCTGACCCGTGATCTAAATGGTGCTCCACCTCTTGCCTGGTAAGCAGCAAGGTAAGCTGGAGGAGTCTTTTCCCTAACTAGCTTTCTCCTTACCTAATGCTCTTTCACTGCTTTCCTACTAACACATTATGCCTTTTGTTAGGTCCCAGGCTCCCCAATGAACTAGCAGCAGCCAGTCCAGTCTCGTTTTATGTCAAGCTGATGTGTGTAGTTTTCAAAGATCATTTTAGCTCCAACAGTAAGGACAACTCTTAAATTCAGGACTGCATAAAATGTTCTCAGCTCAGTAAAATAATGGGGGTTGTGGTTAGGATATTCATAACTTAGGGTACGTTCTGCCCCTGCAGAAATGGACAAAACAAAAGGCTAAGAGTGGCTCTGTTCAGCTATTATACCATCAACAATGGGCTGCAACCTACCCATTTTTTTCTGGTACCGGCAGGGGTTGGCCCTGCCTCTAGGTTGGCCCTGCCTCTAAGTAAAGGAACACAGAACTAGGGTTAGAAATAGTTACACTTTGAGCAGCCACCCTTCCTAGTTTTGACCACAATCATGTGGAAACTAATATTCTGCTGGGGGGCAGGGGGTTACACTTTAAATTCCATGTGAAAATTCTAATTGGTGTAACATTTCAGAGTCCATCTGGCCATTCAGAGCAGGACACATGCATCTAGAGCAGACACACACCCAGAAACTACTGCTTATGTTTATTTATCTTAGTTTTTGGTCTCTGTCTCCCTGTATTGTGTTTCTTCTTGTTCCTATTTTTATTCTTGACGTTATGTGTGTCATAGTATCGGACACCAACTTTCTTTGAATGTTGCTGCCGCTCTGCTCTTCTTCTCTGTGAAAGCAGAGCAAAACATACTTTTATTTAAATCAGACAAGGCCTTCCCAGCACAAATTGACAATATCAACAGCTGTTGCTTTCTGCATGTATGGAAATGTCCAAATCTCTGCTTCCTCTATTTTGTCAAGCAGACAGAAAAGGTAACTTCTTACAGTGAACACATTTTTAAAATCCATGGCACAAAGCAGTCACTAGAACAAGTAAGATTACCCACTCAGCACAGAAGCAGATTGTTAAATATACAGCCTATCCAAACTTAGTTAATGGCCTGCCTGAAACAGCAAGTTTCAATGAGAGAGCAAAATTAAAACAAAAAGGGCAGGTGAGTTTTCTTGGGAAGGGTGTTCCATGCCCTTGATGCTGACTCACCATTCCAGAAGTTTGGAGGGGGGAATGCAAAGGAAGGCTGATGCCAACCTAATGCAAGGGAGGGGAAGCGTACCAGCATTGAGACTTTGCACACTGCAAGTACAGTGGTACCTTGGCTCACGAACTTAATCCGTTCCAGGACTCTGGTCATGACCGAAATTGGTCGTGAGCCAAGTTAAATTTCCCCATAAGATTCAATGTAAATAAGGTTAATCCGTTAATCTGTACTATTTTTTAAATCAGAAAAATGTAAAGCAAAGTGACAAAACAACAAAGATCATGGCCATCCCCCCACCCCCCCTAGCACAACTGCGATTGCGCCTGCCATCCCTGCATGTGCCTGCCATTCTGGTGCGCTGCAGGGTGCGAGACAGGCACGAACGCAGACCACGGGGGGGGAGGGGGGGGAGACAGATGCGATCATGCTGTGGGGGAGATGGCCGTGATCCCAGTTGCCATCCAATGTGGAGTTTGCAACCTGAGTCACATTTTTAATGAAATTTTTGTTTGCAACTCGATTTGGTTGTGAACTGAGGGGTTTGTGAGCCGAGGTACCACTGTGTAACTGAGCATGAAGCAACATCTCCCTCTGCTGCCTCACAAGGGCAAAACTGTATGGAAGAGTAAAACCCACTCAGATTTTGCTCTGGAGTGCAGTTTCACAGTTAAGAGCACCTTGGGTAGTGGCTAGGTACAAAGCTTCACTGCTTGGTAATGCATGGAATGTTTCAGAGTCAGGTTGGGGGCAATCCAGAGGCAGCAGTACTAGCCTCTAAAAAAAGCATTTCTGCCTAGCAGCCCTCACCGTCCCATTTCAAGTGGTCATGCTGCAGGGGGAGCATGACCCCCCCCCCCACTTGACCACTGTCGCCCACACAAGGCCTTTCTTGCCATCAAACCCATTCATATTCTGTAGCAAAATACATACTAGCTCCCTAAACTGTGACACTTAGCATGTGTGGCAACTAGTTTTTGCCTGTTCAACTCGCATGCTGTATGCTAAACAAGATCTATTTGTACTGGAGATGCTTACTCGTTTTCACAGTGAGGGAGGAGGAGGAGGTCTGGGTACAGGAAGAAAAAACATTTGCTAAAGAAGACTGGCAAATGGTTGTTGTTGTTTCAAAGACACAAAGAACACGTTTTTGGGGAAAACTGATTACATGCCAAGTGACACGTGCCGAGCGCCTTTCCGCACGGCGCACTGCAGCACGCTCCTTTGCACTGGACCTGTGTCTGCATGAGCAGCTGCAACCTACCTCCTTTGAACTCTGCGTTGTCCAAGGCTTCTTAGCTGCACTGGTGTCCAGGTCCTGATCCTCCTCTACTTTCCTTTTCCCAACTTTCTTCTGATTCCCTAAAATCAGTGTTTCAAGAATGAAGGGAAGAAAAATTGTACACATTTAATGACGATGGCACATGCCAGCTGGAGTCATCTTGAAGAGCCAAACAAGGCAGGGCAATGGATTACCCTCAATCTATTTGCTTCCAATATTTATGCTGGGAAATAGGCTTTGCCCAGCCTCTGAATGATCTTTCTCTCTTTATACTCCACTTGACACACAGCCTCAAATGTGCTTCCTTAGTATGGAAGGTAAGAAGAGTTCCTTGCAGTAAAAAACGAAGAGTACAAATAGGTCAGATATTTGCAGCTGGAAAAGGAAAGCAGTATGAATCAGGCAGGGCACATTTCTGCTGGTTGCAGCCATCCCAAGCCTTCCATGGAGCACTATTAATCATAGAAACATACAAACAGAGCAAGTCAGAAGGGGTCTCTCAGGCCATCTAGTCTGACCCCCGGCTCCAGGTGGCTCCGCTCATGACATGCCCACAATGTGCATGTCCAGCCTCTTTGAACAGCCGCACCAATGGGGCCTCAACCACCTCCCATGGAAGCCCATTCCACACCCTCGGGGTCCTGACTGTCAGGAAGTACTTCCTGGCATCTAACTGGAACCTTGGTTCCCTGAGCTTTGCTCCATTGGAGCACGTCCTGCCTTCCTCTGCAGGGGAGAACAGGTCTCTACCCATCTCCATCTGACATCCCCCACATATCTGTATGTCACCAACAGATCCCCTGAGTCTCCTCCAGGCTGAACAGGCCCAGTTCCCTCAGTCTCACCTCATATGGCATCCCCTGCAAACCAGCCACCAACTTTGTGCCCCTACACTGCACTGACTAACCCGGCTATGTTGTTGTTAGTCGTGAAGTAGTGTCCGACCCAGTGCAACCCCATGGACAACATTCCTCCAGACCTTCCTGTCCTCCACCATCCCCCAGAGTCCACTTAAGCCCACGTCAACGACTTCAGTGACTCCATCCAGCCACCTCATCCTCTGCCGTCCCCTTCTGCTTTTGCCATCTATTGTTCCCAGCATTAGGTTCTTCTCCAGGGAGTGCTTCCTTCTCATTAGGTGGCCAACATATCTGACTTTCAACTGGCCTTCTGAAGAGCAGTCAGGGTTGATCTCTAGGACTGACTGGTTTGATCGCCTTGCGGTCCAAGGGACTCGCAGGAGTCTCCTCCAGCACCACAGTTCAAAGGCCTCAATCCTTTTGTGCTCAGCCTTCCTTATGGTCCAGCTTTCACAGCCATGCATTGCAACTGGGAAAACCATAGCCTTGACTATACGCACTTTTGTTGGCAGGGTGATGTCTCTGCTTTTTAGTATGCTGTCTAGATTTGCCATAGCTTTCCTCCCCAGGAGCAAGCGTCTTTTAATTTCTTGGCTGCAGTGCCCGTCTGAGGTGATCTTGGAACCCAGGAAAATAAAATCTGTCACTGCCTCCATTTCTTCCCCATCTATTTGCCAGGAAGTGATAGGACTGGATGCCATGATCTTAGTTTTCTTAATATTGAGTTTCAAGCCAACTTTTGTGCTCTCCTCTTTCACCCACATCAAGAGGCTCTTTAGTTCCTCTTCACTTTCTGCCAGGAGAGTGGTATCATCTGCATATCTGAACCTGGCTATATCCTTCCTATAATGAGGGGCCCAAAACTGAGCACAATACTCCAGTTGCGGGTGCACCAGAGTCGTATAGAGTGGTAGTAATACCTCTCTCAATCGAGAAGCCACACTTCTGGCTATACAACCAAGGGTGGCATTTGCCCTCTTGACCACTGCATCACATGGCTGACTCATGTTTAGCCTGCAGTCGACCAGCACCCCGAGGTCCTTTTCACAAGTGCTGCTCTCCAGCCACTTCTCCCCTAACCTGTACTTGTGACACCCATTCCTATGCCCCAAGTGCAAGACCTTGCACTTATCCACACTGAACGCCATCCTGTTGTCTCCTGCCCACTTCCATAGTCTGTCCAGATCCTTCTGGATCTGGAGTACCTGCTCCTCAGTTGTGGCCACTGCTCAAGTTTTAGTATCGTCTGCAAATTTGATCAAATGTCTGTTCACCCCTCCTTCCATGTCACTGATGAAAAGATTAAACAGGATCAGCTCCAGGACAGAGCCCTGGGGGACCCCGCTTGTCAGTGGCCGCCATCCTGATGATTCCCCACTAATGGTTACCCTCTGCTTTCGGTCAGGCAACCATGCCCTAATCCACCAGACAGTGCTTTGGTCTATCCCAAAACTCCTCAGTTTCTCCACCAGGATATCATGGGGCACGTTGTCAAAGGCCTTGCTGAAATCCAGGTATACCACATCCACTGCATCTAGCCATCTCGAAACCTTGTCATAGAATTCCACAAGGTTTGTCTGGCAGGACCTGTTTTTGCGGAAGCCGTGTTGTGTGGCTGTCAGCCTCCCTTCCCTATTTAGCATCACTAGATCTCTCTCTGTTAGGAACCTTTCCATTGTTTTTCCTACAATGGACGTAAGGCTAACAGGTCTGTAATGTCCCTTTACTACCCTTTTTGAAAATTGGGACCACTGATGCCACCCTCCAGTCTTCTGCAACTTCACCCGTTCTCCACGAGGCCTCGAAAAGGGAGGCCAGCAGGCATGAGAGAACCCCTGCCAACTCTCTTAAGTACTCTCGGGTGTAACCCGTCAGGGCCGGGCGCCTCTGTAACATCCAGTGCCCTGAGGAGCCCCTCGACTTCTTGCGGAGGGTGACTCTAATCTGTGCCCCTAAGTCCCCGGCCTCATCTAATCTCCCATGCGGATCTCTTCCGTCCTGCTTTGGGGAGAACACAGATGCAAAAGAGTCATTTAGCATCTGTGCCTTTTACTGGATCTCCTTCCTCCTTATTTAGTGGTCCCACTACTCTTCTCCCTCTTCCTATATACATGCTGATAGAAGCCCTAAATACACCAAATCTGTCCAGTATAAGACCTCAAAGCATATTTACCTGTGTTGTAACAGAGCTCTCTAGTCTCATCAGCTGCCACAGCCACAGAATCCATTGGTGATTTTGCAAATACTTTCTCAGTCAGCTTTTTGGGAATTCTGCAAAGTAGGCAGGCAGGCATTAAGTACTTGCCAAACCTTGGTTCCCTCCTCCCCAGCCACTGTTCCTATCTCAGCCCCTGCAACTTTCTACCATTAGTACACACCCTTATTGTCAAAATGTATCCTTCACCTGTGACAGTCAGAGGTTCCAGCCATCACAGCACCTGCGTGGGGGCTGCACACATCTCATTCCAAGAGAAATATCCCCTCTGAAACTCATAGCACAGTGGCAGCAACACCCTAGTGTGCCACACAGAGTAGTCCTAATTCAAAGGCAGCTTCCTGCCTGTGAGAGCATTGCCAGGCCTATTTTAATCATGCCACAATCCAAGGGTCAGAAAGGATGGCACTCGAGAAGCACCACCCAGCAGTGCCTCGGTTCTGCGGCCTTCCTGTGCAGCGTGCAGCCTGGCTCCTCTTCTGGGTGGGCTCTGCTCACAGGATGCCATGACTGGGGCTGCCTCCATGGATGGAAGGCACTTCACATCTGGCCAGCCTGGCGTTACTGCAGAAGAGTGGCTGCTCATTCTCACATCTTTACACCTGCATGAGCCAGCTCAAACAGGTTCCACCCCCTACAGGAAAAGGCACTACCTTATTGCTGAGAACCTCTTGGCTTTGGCCTGGGCCAAGAATTTCTTGTATTTAGCAATCTTCTCATCCAGGGATTTCAGCACTGTGCTTGTGTCTTGCTCTGTGCCTGCCTTGCTGGCTGCTGGTCCATGCGGGCAGTGCTCCTCATTTCCTTTCTCCTCCCCATCCTCCTCCAGATCACTGTCAGTCTCTTCCACATCTGATGCATCTACAGGAACCAGGTCTTCTTGCAAGAACTGAGGGGCCACACTGATCTTCCCAAAGTTCTGCCGTACATGGGACAAGGGCCATTGTGTTGCCGCCGAGTCGGGGCAGTCATCATTCCTGGCCTCGCTGACAAGCACCTCTGCTGACTGAATATTCTCAGTGCTCTCACTCTCACTGGTAGCTGCGGGTCCTTCTGGGACAGCTGCTGTGAGCTGAAAATAGAAGACACCAACACAACCCATCACTTTCTGCTCTTGTATTTGTTCCACAACAGTACTGGTGCAACAAAAGGTTTGATCAAGGCTCAATGAAGCATGGTTTAATTAAACCACTCTGAGATGTTTCAATCAAGCTCACATGAAAGGATGTCAAAGAATACCTCTAGGCCAGGGGTCCTCAAACTTTTTCAACAGAGGGTTAGTTGAAAGGTGCCAGTGGTGGGGGCAAGCTGGCAAGGTGGTGCTGGTGGTGTGCATGGGCTGGTGGAGGGGGTGGGCGGGGGCGCGCATCCAGGTGGGAGCAGGTGCGCATGGCACGGCAGCAGTTTGCTTGCTTGGAGATCATTTTCTCTGAGCAAGTTCAAAATTATCTCCATGCAAGCAAGCCGCCACCTCCCCTAACCCAAAACCTCTGAGGAGGGCTGGATAAATGGGCATGGCGGGCCATATGCGGCCCATGGACCGTAGTTTGAGGACCCATGCTATAGGTGTATGTCAAGTGCTTTACCGTGTCACAGAGTAACTATGACACCACCCTTATCCCTCAAGATTAAGTTTGTAGCCGTTTAAGGGACTCGAGTTTGGAGAGTTGGCCTGACTCCTGATTTCATTTTAGAAACCAGAAGTCTGTGTTCCCCAGGATGACTTGATCATGGCGTGAACTTAAGGGGCCAAGGTCCCCTTGGCTTTATGGCTTTAACTTGGAAGATTCACTGAGGAATGTATTTAAAAACATAAATTATTTATATTAAGGAAGGCCTCCATTACCTAGTTTTATGAGTGGAAGTTGATATGAGGCCCACAAAATCTAGTAAATCTGCTCCCTTTTGTTCCGCCCACTTAACTCAGAGGGTGGGAAATGATAGTGCTGTAAGACTATCATCCAACCAGCCACTCCTACTGTTTTCTGTGCTTTCCTTAAGGTCAAGTGTTTATCATCAAAATAATTGAACTTGCTTTTAGATACTGGTTGGTTGTTGTTACGTGCTGTTGTAAACCAATATATTACCGTTTACATCCCACCTTTCCCCTTCTAAATACCCATTCACAATGTTCATGCAGCCTTACCTGTGCACCCTGTTCCATAGCTGGGGGCTTTACAAAGAAGGGGATACGGCCCCTCTGCCAGTCATTCAGCACCATCCTACTGGCTGTCTGCGCGTCAGGCTCTCCTCCCTGGAATGGCCACAGTCATACTGAAAAGGGGCAGGGCACCCAGAACAGCCCCTCCCCCAGCCAGACAAGAGCAGAGTCTGCTTCCGGGTGTCCATCTCGTTCCAGTGATCTAGCTGGGCAGCAGGTTCTGGCTACAGGACAAGCGGTGGATGGATGACAAGATCTTACAGAAGAACCCATCCCCATTAAATATCCTCTTGCGCAAGGAAAAGACAGGCTTATAATCCACCTGCCAAGTATAAAATGCCTTGAGAAATACCTTTTTGCACCTTCACTGCTGGGTATCCTGGGCATATCAAGTAGTGACAATGAGAAATCCATTTCAAATCCAGGTTGTGACACAACAACATGGAGAGAAGTGAAAGGGGACTATTTCTGAAAGACATGTGGTGCCTTTCTCCCTGGAGCCAGCTGGATTCATGCATCCACAAGGACACCCAGAGGCAGAATCTATTCACTTCAGAGAGTGCCTGCCTGCTTGCTTGTCCACTCTGGTGAAAGAGCTCCCTGCTGTGGCATCCCTCCCCAGCACAATGCGCAACCCACTCTACTGCGTCAAAGATCAGCACATTGGCTGGCCAGCCAGTCACCCGGCAGGCTGCTTTTCCAGGGCAGCAGCATCATACCCTACCCCAGTGGAGGCAAACCTAGGGCATACATGCCGCAGTGGGCATGCAGAGCCCTCCTGTGGGCGCATGAGCCAAGTCGCCCCTGCAGCCCAGCGTTGGATAGCAGCGTGCACAGGGGCCATGCGCATGCTCGGAAAGGAGTGGCGGCGCCAGGCCATCGCCATCACAGGCCGCGAGTCATTAGCTGCGACTCATCCGAGCTTTTCCATGGCCGGTCAATGCGCTGCCAAGGAGATCTATTTTGCTTGGACTGGCTGTGAGTTGCTTTTTCTAAACTAAAACTTCAGTATTCAGGTTTTATTGCAGTGCTGGCACTTTGCGAGGCATAAGTGGGCTTTGGGCTGCAGTTAGGGGACTTGGTCTCCACAAGGCTTGCCATCACTGCCCTTCCCTATCCCAGGCGATCCTCCGTGGCAAGCGGAAGCAGGTTCCTTCACCTTCAGTAGCTTCCCAGTCTGCAAGGCCAGCTTCTCGAGGAAGTCCTCTGCATTCTCCCAGAAGTCTATTTTGTATGTCTTGCGGATGTATTCTGGCTTAGCCCTCTCCAGCACGGCAGCAATGTGGTCTTCTGGACTCTTGATTTTTTCTACTTGCACCTGGAAGCAGTCAGTAAGAAAGTTTAGGGCCCTGAAGGATAAGGAAGGGGCCCCACAGGCATCTCCACCCACTGCCACAGAAGTCTGTGTGAAGACTGTGCGTGCCACTGGACCTCAACGGTACTTCCATAGTGAAGTATGGATATCAGACTGGTGTTGGGTCATGGGACACCCTAAGTATCTCTTGCGACACTCACCACTCCCTTCAGTACAATGTCTGTTTCAGTGTCTCCTGAGGGGTAGACCACTCCTGGGCAGTCAATGAGGAATATGCGGCGCATCAAGGTGATGTACTGCCACACCTGTGAAGGACAGAATGGAGTGGACTTTACCCTTCTTCAAATGGAATTAAACATGGCAGCAGCTCCTCTAAATCGGGAGAAAAGCAGCCATGGCACAGCTAAGCATTGACAGCTCATAAGTCACCGGCTCTTAAAAGCTCAAAGAAAAGAAACGCTACAACTTTGCTCTGAGCCAACTGGGCAAAAGTGGCAACATGTTTCTCTTCTGGTCACTACCAAGACATCTACTTGTCCTGTCACAGTTTGGCAGAAGCTCAGCTGTAGCCCTTTTTGAAGAGGGATTAGACTATTTGGTCATCCAGCCCCATGGAGTTTTCCTGCCAGACTGATCAGGAAGAGGCTTCAGCTAATTTCTGTTCACATCCTGTTTTGGAAAAACATGGAAACATAGAAACAAAGCAAGTCCAAAGGGGTCTCCCAGGCCATCTAGTCTGACCTTCGGGTCCAGCCAGCTCCGCTCATGCAATCCCCAACACGTCGTCCAATCCTTCCTTGAACACCCTCAGTGACGGGGCCTCAGCACCTCCTGTGGAAGCCCATTCCATATCCGAGGGGTCCGAACCATCAGGACATACTTCCTGACATCCGACCTGAAGCCTGGTTCCTTGAGCTTTGCCCCACTGGAACCCATCCCACCCTCCACTGCAGGGAAGAATGAGTCCTGGCCCTTCTCCACATGACATCCCCTCTCATACCTATAAGTTGCTAAAAGATCCCCTTGGTCCAAATGGTGCACAAAGTATTTTCTTCCGCAACCTTCACATTTACTTTTCATAATTTATTCTGCCTCACAGAACACTGATGTCTTTTGGCCATGGACAACCTTCAAGCAATCTGCCCTTCAGGGCTGGTACAAGGACGGGCAACTGCAGTTCCCAGCATTTTTAGCCAGTTCAGCCAATGGTGAGGAATGGTAGGAACAGCAGGCCTAAGCATCTGGAGGGCCACCATTTGCCCACCATCAGGCTCCAAACATGAACACAGGGACTGCTCTGTCTGCATCTCGCCTCACCAGTCAAGCAGCATAGTCCTAGAAGCAAGGAACACGCATGGTTCTGATCCATGCGGCCCCTTGTCCTCAGGGGCAAAAGGGCTACTAGAGGCATGCTGGATCGGTCCATGGGGAGGCTTGCCTTGGTTTCGCCTGCAATGGGTGCCACACTGCAGACCTTCTTGGAGCGGAGTGTGTTGATCACAGAACTCTTTCCCACATTGGGGTAGCCAATGAAGCCCACGCTAATTTGCTTCTTGTCCATGTGTAGCTGCAGGAGAACAAAGCACACAGAGAAAGGCCGGCTGGCTGTTGACACCCCACAACATTTAGAGAAGGGAGGTTTAGACAAGCTGTGCTTCACGAGCATGCACTCGGTCTACTGATGCAGCCAAAGGAGAGACGGGTGTCTGGAAGGGGACACAAAACTATGGGCTCCTTTTACTCATTGATGGTGTAGCATATGCAGAAAGACGTTATCGGCCGGTGCTCTTTAAACAGCCTAATGGTTCAGGTATCCTGTGTGGCACTGTCTCTCCCCCTCACTGCTCCCCACCCCCCACAACACAAGCCATGAAGAGTGGTGCACGTGCAGCTGCTGAGACTGCTGCCTACAAACTCTTCTGCTATGTTTGGCAGATCCTCAGTTATGCCCCCAATGCCAGAAACTAGCACAGGACAACCAGACCAACTGAACTATAGACAGAAGCTTGTGCCAGGACTTGGGAGCACCCACACCTCTTCTGTAACCATGGAAGATTCAGGGTCCTCTTGACCAATTAACTTTTCTAGAACAGCAGAACTCAAGTACCCAGAGAAGCGGGGCCACATGGAACTGCTCGTGTACACTTGTGAAAGAATCACAGCTCCAACATTCCAGGGCTCCTCACTGACACTGGATGTCCAAGATAAAGATGTACTGTACCTTTCCAAACTGCCTCAATAGTTGGATGAAAGCTCCTTTTCCAAAGGGGTTTGTGAGGCTGGCATGAAAGGCTAAGGTTGGATAATCCTGGGAGAGGACGGCAACCCAACGTTTCTAGAAGGAAAGAACAAAGAGTCATACACCATCTCAGCTCACAAGGCAGGTACCCAAGCATGAAGGGACTGCTGGGAAACTCTATTCAAGCCTACCAGGCAATGCCTGTCTAGTGCTTTCAAATACACAACCAGTATTTCAGCACTGGTTTCCTCACTTGTTCAAAGGAATTCGTTCAAGTCTAATGGGAACCAAAGAGCGATTTCAGATAGGCAGATAAGTCAGCTCCCAGAGGTTTAGAAGTGTACCAGCAGAAGAACTGCTCCTCCACAGGCAAGAAGAGCTGCTCCTGCTCCACCACTAGGCACACCACTTGCAAGAGGCTTACCGTGGCCCACGTGGGCACAAGATCACATTTGTTCAAGACAAAAATGAGATGCTTCCAGGGCTTCTCCTTCTTCAGATAGGCCTCTACATGTGGAGAACGAGTCCCAACGGGGTCCCTGGCATCCAGCACTTGCACAACGACATCTGATGAATCAATCACCTGCCAATTCACAGGGAGGGCAAGAGAAAAATTAAGACTGGGAAGAAGTGTCCAACACTTATTCCAGGGAAACAGGCTACCTCGGCCCACCACATCCCACCAGCTGAAGCCACCATTCCAGACTGGTAACACCACCACACCCTGAAATGAATGAGAAGGCATGAAGCACCTTAGCCTGCAAAGAACACACCTGGATTTTCTACAGGCAAGTCACATACAAACTGCTGAAGGGCACCAGGCTGGGTTCAGAAACAGTGTTAAGGCAACGAGCAGCTGATCTGCTCTGATTTCATTACCAAAGATTCTGAAGGGACAGGCTGCCTGGAAGCAATAGCTGTAGCCAGAGGCTCAAAAAAACTCTCTCCCCCTCTCACTGCCCAGCCAGTGCGATTTCTTAGTGGAACACTAGTTTGTGCGCACACATGCATATGTGCAAGAACCTAAGAAATACACCTGAGACGGCTCCTTTGAGCACAAGAAGGTGTGGAGACAGACAAAATAAGCACAATCTGTACAGAGAACACAGATTTCGCTAATAGTTTCTGCGTTCCAGATATTTTTTAGGATAACTCCCATCAGCCACAGCCAGCTTGGCCAATGGACAGGGCTTGTGGAAGTTGTAGTCCGAAACATCTGTAGGGTACATCGTTGGGAAGACTGGGGAAAGCATGAGGAAGCATCTGTGGCCTCGCAGCTGCCCAGTTTTCTCCAACAAGCTACAGCTCAACAAGGAGCAAGCAACAGCAAGCCTCCCTGAGATGGCCTGAGGCAAGAGCCAGCAGCAGAGCACAGAATGCCATGGCAGGAAGAGCCAGCACAAGGCCTCTCCAGATGCAGCTCCGGTGATCTGCTGGAAGAGCAACCACAGTGCCCCCTTAATCCAAGCCCAGGCAAATCTGGATGAGCCACACAGAGACCCCTCCTTTCCATTTCATATCCATACCTTGTAAAGTTCTCCCCAGATACGCTTGGACTGCCCCTTCTTGTAGATTTCTTCTCGCACCTCTTCCCTAAAAGGGGTTGAATGGCACCATCAACAGGTGAGGTGCTACGCTGTGTCAAACTACTAGAGGTACCTGCAGGCCAGAACCCCTTGGGGGAAGACCCATCCCCAGGTGGAGGACTGCAAAGAACACAGTAATTCACCTTGCTCAATTTCTTTGCTAACCCCCAGTCACACAGCCGTTCCAAGTCCCAAGAGGCAAGCGAGCATCCACCCAAAGCAGCGGTGTCAGGAAGGCCAACATGGGCAGACAGGAGGGAGGGCAAGAAAGGAAGTGGCCACAGAGCACAAGTGCACCGCCATCTCTGCAGGCAGGCTGCCAGGAACAGAGCTAGAGATTCAGTGCAACTGCCAAACACCGTCATGACAGGAAGCTGCTCAGTGATGTGAGCCAAGTCCACTGGATTGGTCGTGGGAGGGATTCAGCCCATTCCACGAGACAGAAAGCCACACAGTTACACATGAGTAAGATCCATCTGCAAGGCAAAGCCTCCTTTCTCTATTAGACAAAATATTCTATCATTACCTCAATCTACAGGAAGCAGGTGGGCAGGGTGGCAGAGGAAAGAGGCCAAATTCCTCCCGTAGGAAAATGTGCAAAGAGCTTACCTCACTCCAGTATCTTCTGTTACCAGGTCCCGGTCCTTGTCTCGGCTGTAGTTGCTGGCTTCAACGACGGCATTTTCTACTAGAGACTGCACATCACTCACCACGAGATTCGGTCGCTTCCTTTGTGACTTGGGGCCAAATGTTGTTTCAAATGTTTCTGTGTCAAGAATGTGGACTTTGGAATTCTAAAAGAAAAGTTGAGAAGATTTGCCTTGGCCCTGAACAAGATCCCTCAGCTCAAAAGACTGCCCAGACTTCAGGCTTTCCTCAAAGAGGCTACAGTGCTGCACAACTAAGGCCTATCCAGGCTTGCCAGGCAGAACTGTTCCCTTTCTCCTCTTGGTATCCATTCATTCAATATAATTCAAACTGCAAGGATGAAAATTCAACGGCTATCTCCACTCATTGCTTTGTTTCATCAACAGAGCTGCAGATCCTGCCAAAACTCATATTTATCAAGGATAATCTGCCCCATATTTTGGTCTTTCCTTTGAAAGGCAGGTTTCAAATGCCAGCCCCTTTCTTAGAACAGTCTCCTACAGCCAGCAAACACTGCTCATTTTGGGCTTGAGTTGCAGAAAACACTTTCCTTAATTTAAGATGTTTTATTAGAGACATATGGAAACTCCCGAGAAAACAAAACTCTCCAGGATACACAAAAGAAACAAAGCTAGCAGGCCAAAGCAAAGGGGAATTTTTGACTGGAGATAAAAGCATGGGCTGAGGGGAGGGGGGAGGGGTTCTGGCAAGCTCAAGGACAAAGCCAGTATACCCCATCTTTAGCGCCAGGTCTGGAGGTTGCTGGCACCACGCCTCATCTGGGATCCTCTGCCACAGGAGCAAGCCCAGATCTTGTGCATCATCCAGCAAAGAGCAATTTGGACCCAGCTGCAAAGAACCACCAAGGTTACTGAGCCCCGTGTTAGGTGCTTTCCAGGGCAACACAAGTTATTGCTTTGGTCTGGCCAGGGAGCAGTAAACAGGAAAATGTTCTACGGGGCTGTTCTCCAGCCAGCCAGATTTACAAGGAGTGCAGCCCAAGGAAGATTCCAATTTGCACAAAACTAGGAAGCAGGTCCTGGCACAAACATGAAGACACACAGGGTGGAAAGTGGCTTTATGTCACACCTGTGAGTACCTTCTCCCCGGCCTTCTGCGCCAAGTAGAAGCCCCCTTCCTTCTTCAGGAAGCAAAGACTGACAAAGTCTAGTTCTCTCTTGCAAGCTATACATGAGTAATGTTAGCATGTGTGAGCAGAAGGACCCATCAATATGCACTTGCTGAGTCTTCCTGATGTACCTGCACACCATGTAATTAGAGGATGATTTTCAGGTGAGAGAGAATGTAGCAGCACCTGTGCACATACATCAAAAGGAACAAACTGAAGACTTGGGATACCTGTTGGGGGGTGAAAATAGGTCCACCTTAAAGAGGCAAGTGGAGCACTCACATGAGGCTTAATCCGGTCATGAAGAAGAGACAGGGGCAGCTTGGCCTGTTTCATGACCACTCTGTAGGGGTCATTCATCACTGTCTTCATCTCTTCTTGGAACACCTGGAGGGATGACTGCTTGATCACACGTGTGTTTCCTACATGGGAAAAACCGTAAGTTGGCCGACGCCAGTGCTTGCTACACCCTGGTGTCACCACAACAGTAAAATAACGCTTCAAGAACAGCAGCAAGGCAGTGCTTTATCACAACAATGTGTCTTACCCTCTTTAAATCCAGCAGGTGGACAATAAAGGTCACTACTGCCCACCAGCACATCTTCTACCCAAGAAACCCAACCCAGGAAACATTCCCTGAAGCACTGCTGCAGGCATACTCACCAAACCATTTAATGTTGGGCTCCACTCTGGCCACTGTGCCTGGTGCCACCATGGACTGGAACTGCAGCGGCCGGACCAGTTTCCCGTGCTTGTTCCTATGAAAGGAGAGATTCACTGGAATTCTGATCGACATTCCTGTGGCCTTGTGGGAGCCATTCCCACTGAAATACTGTGATCCCGGGCTGTGGCCCAATAATTCCCCAATATCTGCTGGCAGGGCAAAAACTGCTAGTCCAGGGTTGTGAGGCAACGTGAGCAATACTGAGCTGAATGGACCAACTAAAAGCCTGACTTGCACTGAGACAGGATGGATGCAATTAAGATGGCAAAACATGTTTGAAAAATAAGGATTTCAGGAAGCATGATTAACAGAAGCAAAACTCAACTGATCTGATATTGGAGTCACCCCTGACCCCGAAGTTGAGGAGTTCCTCAGGGCACTGAATGCCAGGAAGCACTTCCTGACAGTTAGCACCCCAAGGGTATGGAATGGGCTTCCATGGGAGGTGGTTGAGGCCCCATCGGTGAGGGTGTTCAAGGGTAGGCTGGACATGCACATGATGGGCATGTCGTGAGCAGAGCCAGCTGGAGCCAGGGGTCAGACTAGATGGCCCGGGAGGCCCCTTCTGACTCGCTCTGTTTCTGTGTTTCTATGATCTGAACTCATTGCCTTACATGAAGGAGATGCACCAGCTTGTGCAAAGGCAAAATGCACAAGCAATTCTCAATAAAGTCAGACACAGCAGAGAAGCAATCATTCCGCTCCAGGTGTACAACTGGAAACAATAAGGGCTCCTTGGCCACGTGTCAGGTGGGAAGGCAATCGGGCTGTGAAGGTAAGAGTGCCTGATACTTAACACTGACACTTTCCACAGGCTCTGCCAAGCCATGGAGCAGAGCCTCTAAAAAAACACTTCACTAAGAGGTTCCATATTTTACACTTGGCCCTCTCTCACAAGCAGAGATGTTTAGAGAAACACAGCAAGGCCTCCATTCAGCACCTGCTCATGGGCACAGCACATGCCAGCACACGGCTGGGCATGAAACTGACGAGTTCACAACTGGGATGAGAGCGAAGCAGGCTCTACCCTCACTTCAGAGAGGCTCTAGCTTTCTTGAAACAAGCACACACAGAGCACTCCTTGATGACACAAACAGTCTATTTATCAGCCAATTCCATGAACAAGGTGGAAGGACCAGAGATCATCACATGAAAGGAGAGCCAACGTGACATTTTTTTCATTTTTTCCTTGCATCTTAAAAGATTCTAAGGTTTTGATCTGAATAAGTTTACTGAACAAGGAAAGTTTTAAGAGCAGTTACTTCCCTTGTTCAGTGATAAAAGAAACATCAATACAGAATTTGGCCTCCTAAAGTGCCTTCAGAGGAAAATCCTTATCTTCTAAGTTCTGATTTCTGAATCCTTACATTCCAAGTTTTGGTTCCTGACTCCAAGCAGAGCAGAGCACATCAGAGCAAGCTGCCCTGGATGGTCTAGGCCTCTGGGATACAAGCAGCCAAGCTCCCAGGGAGTGAGCGACCAGGAGTTTGGCGGGGGAGGTCCCTAACATTTCTCCCCCCCACTTTGTCTCTCTCCCTTATTTCACCTTAATTCCCCCACTGCACGCAGCGGCACAAGGAACGCACCAAGAAGACTCCATAGCAGTGGCCTAGAACCCCTCTTACAGGACAAAGTGAAAGCGTCAGGTGTCCATCCTCTCGACAATAAAACAAAACAAAGAATTTCTAGACAGAGCGGAGGAACTGCAACAGGTCAGGGTATTCCAGAAGGAAGAAGAGCAACAGCAAGCCAAGGGGGCAGAAGAGAACCCCGAGGGAAGGGAAAGTGAGGAAACTCGCTGGAACAGGGTAACAGACACAGAAGACCTAGAAGACACTTTGCACCCGTGAAAGCAGTGGGACTCTCAAACTACTTCAAGTTACTTGAGGAAGGGACATGTGAGAAACCCACTGTGGAAGAATAACACGACACACTGGGTAACTGGGTTTCCATCTACACTGGCTACCAATTGAAGTCCAGGCTCAATTTAAGGTGCTGGTGATGACCTATAAAGCCCTAAATCACTTAGGGCCTGGTTATCTGAACGAGTGTCTCCTTCCAGATGTGCCTGCCTGCCCGGAGGCCCTTCTCTGGGAGGCCTCCCTAAAGGAGATTAGGAGGATGACTACCCAGAGCCCTATGCAGTGGTGCCCAGACTGTGGAATTTGCTCCCCAGAGAGGTTCGTCTGGCGCCATCACCTTTTGCTGGTTGGAAATTTTATTAGGACACTGTGGGGTTTTTTGTTTTATGTTGTCAAACCGTCCCGAGACCATGGTAAGGGACGGTCCAGAAAAGTTTTAAAGGAGTAAAAAAAACTGAAAAAAGAGACAAAAGGCCAATCAAACAAGGAAAAGGATAGCAAGGTTTGCAACAAAGGAATAGGAGTGCTAGTTGTGGGAGATTCCCTCTTGTGCGGGATGGAAAAATGTTTATGTTGTGATCCAGAGAATCCCCAAGTATCCTGTCTCCCTGGCACCAAGATTGAGGATATAACCAGCAAGTTCACACTTGTATGACCCACTGACAAATACCCCTCCCTTCTCTTCCACATGAGAACTAATGACACTGCCATGAGAAGTTTTGCAGAAATAACATCAGACTTCAAAGCTCTAGGAAAATAAAAAACACTGGGGCACAGATAGTCTTCTCCTCAATCCTGCCAGGACATAGAAGAGGAACTGTTAGGGAAAGAAAAATCCTTCAGGTGAATAATTGGCTATGATGGTGGTGCTGTAAAGAGAGATCTGGATTCTGGCACCACAAGCTAAGCTTCCTGGGGGATGGACTCCTGGCAAATGATGGGCTGCACATCACAAAGAACGGGAAGCAGGTGTTTGGCCACTGCATGAAAAACTTTGTCAGGAGAGCTTTAAACTAAAACCTATAGGGGAGGGAGATGTGGAGCATGACATACCATTGCCTGGCAAAGACATATATTTCAATGGAGGAAAAAACCTCAAGCAGGGCCCAACAGCAGTCTCCCAAAAAACCTATATAAAACCAGGGCACAACGAGAACAAACTTTGATGTCTCTACACCAGTGCCCAGAGTATGGGAACCAAACAACACCAGCTTGAACTCATGGTTCATGAGGACAATTATGATCTTATAACAGAAACTTGGTGGGTTTCTGACTGGGTCTCTACGACTGATGGATACAACCTGTTCAAGAAAAATAGAAAGGAGAAAAAGGGAGGTGGAGTCGCACTGCATGTAAGAGACACATAGACCTGCCCAGGAATGCAAGACGAGGAACTTAGTAGCCCTATTAAGAGCTTCTGGCTAAATTTAAAGCAGCAAAGAATAAGAAAAGCATAGTGATTGGCCTATATTACCATCCACCCAGTCAAAAAGAGGACAAGGATGCAACCTTCGAAAAGGAACTTGCCGGCATTTCCAAGAAGAACGATGGAGTCCTCATGGGGGACTTCAATTCCCCTGATACGTGCTGGGAGACAGATTCTGCCAAGCACGGCCCCTCCAAGAGATTCCTGACATGCGTTGCTGGCAACTTTCTCCAGCAGAAAGTAGAGGAAGGTATGAGAGGCTCAGCTGCCCTCGATTTAATGCTAACTAACAGGGATGGCCTGGTGGAGAAAATAGCAACCATGGGAACACTGGGGGAAAGTGACCATGGCAACACACCTTCAAGGGAAAAGGAGTTCAAGAGGGGTGGGAATACTCCAAGCACAACTACAAACAATTCCAGCAAGAAAAAAGTGTAGAAGACAGCAGAGGAAGCCCATGTGGCTCCACAAGAAATTACGTGATAGCCTGAAAGAAAAAAAAAATGTACAGGAAGTGGAAGCAGGGCCAGGCCACAGAAGAAGAATACAGTGGTACCTCAGCTCATGAACTTAATCTGTTCAAGGACTCTGGTCGTGACCCAAAGTGTGGTCATGAGTCAATTCTCTTCACAAGCCAAGTCAAATTTCCCCATAAGGTTCAACATAAAAAAGGTTAATCCCTTCTGTAAATATTTTTAATCACAAAAATTTGAAACAAAGTAACAAAGAACATCAAAGTAGCAAAGTACAGTACAGTAGAGAACACTAAGGTTCTCTTAGTGTTGAGGGGGGAGGTTATTGTTTGGAGAGAGAGTCCAAACCATAATCGTGCGAAAGTGATCGTGCTCGGGGGAGGGACGGGTGTGATTGCGGGCCTGCTCACGCAGGGCGACAATCATGGTCACGCCCATCGCCCCACTCCAACTCCAAGCACAATCGTCACCCAATGCGGAGTTCATGACCTGAGTCAAAATTTTTCTGAAATTTCTGTTCGCGACCCGATTTGACTGTAAAATGAGGCGTTTGTGAGCTGAGGTACCACTATATAAACAAATAGCAAGAAAATGTACGGACAGCATCAAGAAGGTTAAAGCAGGAAATGAACTGCAAAAAACAAGGGATGCTAAACACAAGAAAGCCTTCTTCAGATACATCCAGAACAAAAGACATCAGAAAGAGAAGGGTATCAAAACTTGCTGGTTTTAGTGGTAAAACCAGCAGTGGTAATCAGTATTATCCTTTCAGAATGAAGAAAATATTTTGCTGTACATATTATTCAGCATTATTTTTACTATTTCTGCATTATGCTTTTGAATTTCCTAACTTAAAAAAAGACATAGAAATATAGAAACAAAGTGAGCCAGAGGGGCCCTCCTTGGCTAAAATATCCCATCAGGGTCTCCTCTTCTCCAGGCTGAAAAGACCCAGTTCCCTCTCAAGGCATCCTTCTCAAACCGGCTACCATTCTTGTGACTCTCTGCTGAACCGATTCTAACCCAGCCATGTTTCTCCGATAATGCAGAGCCTTAAAAACAAGCAAAATTTGACAGAAGAGTTGTGCAACACCAAAGTACTACCTTTTTCTATTAAAAATCAAGCATGAGGGACAATCGGAACCCATTCCATGTAGCTCAGGTTAAACCCTTTGTACTGTATCAAAGCACTGATCAAAATCCTGTCTACCATAGCAACTATTAACTATACAGGGGAAAGGGAGTTTTAACCTCTTAAAAACAAATACATCTTTAACACCTTTGATGGGGGATCTGGACTGGGACTATAGCATAGGCTACATTAACCAAATTGCCCATTCCAACAGCTAGTCATTTTGTCAGAGAAGGTTGAATTCCCTTGTCACGTGCCACTGGACTACAGGCAAAGAAAGCAATTTGGAAGTAAGTTTCTATTTCACTTAGAAATAATTTTCAAATTTAGATGAAGTTGCTTTGAGCTGCTGAATTGCTGCATTTTTTGCACAGTAATCTGTGAAGGGCTTTGCATCATTATCTTTGAAAAAGAAACCTGTAGGGAAGCTTCCAATGAAAGAAAAGGCTTTTCTGTAAGTTTATTTCACTAAAAGCCTCAATTGTGTTTTTGTTCCTCCCAAAGATACCAACTACTGTGCAAAAATATCAACCTTAATCATCACGATCTAAAACTTTTTCTGTTCTACCTTTAAGGGTTGAACCATCTCAAGGTGGCATCACAAAGTGTAATTTCAAAATAATAATGAAACATCAATTCCCAACAATTTATTCATGTGTCATTAAAAGTCCCTTCAGATTCCATTCCAATGTTTGTTTTTTTAGGAGGAATGTTTATTATGACACGTATGTCTCCCTTTTCACCTGCGTTCCTTCTGCCGGTACATGTTGAGGCGGCGAATAGTTGCCCTGTCCCGCATGTTGTGGCCTCCAGCACCAGCTGGCCGATCTAAAGAAATGGGGGTTGGGGGAAGAGATTAGACAGTGATCATAACTTAACGATCCTTTTGCAGAGTAAATTAATTTCAATTAAGGAAAAAAAAGTTGATTTAAATCAAGTTCCCTATTTAATTTTTTTATACATTTCCTCAACATAGGCACATACCTGACCAGGAAGCCATATTAACATACAACCAAATAGAGTATTATTTACACTGTTTCAATCTTACAATCATGTTTTGCATCTTTTTGTTTCACAGTTATCTACTTCGTAAGCCATTCTTTCGTGGATTCTCAATAACCATTTGAGGTTAATGATGCAATCCTATACAAGTCTACTCAGAAATAAGTTCCATTATATTCCAAGCAAGTGATAAGGGATTCAAGCCTTTGTATAGGAATAGAGGGGGAGGCAGGCTGGACAATTTTGTCAACTTTTTCTTTCCAGTATTGTTTCATCCTGTTTCACTCTGTCTTGGCCTATCCTTGCCTTCACAAAAAAACAAAGCAGCAAACAAAAACAAAATGCCTATCATTGATAAGTCAGAGCAAAGTTTGATGGTTTCTGAAAAAAGAAAAATCAATTTATTTTTAAAAATGCCATTTGTATCTACTGGGCCACCTAGTTATTCTGTTTTAACTAATTTCTCTGCATTGTTTGGCACAATTCCACATAAGCACCACAATGTAATTCTATCTAGGCTATGTTTTTCCCATATGCAGAGTTAGAGAAACAGAAACCCCAACATGCTAAGAAAGGAAGAATTGCAAGTTAGGTGGGACAAAATCATTGTTTGACTTTTATGAGAATGCAAGACTAATATATTTATGAGGTTGCTTTAATTATTTTAAAACTAAAAAATGCTGCAATGTTTGTTTAAAAGCATCACTTTTTGTCCACCCCATCCTTCATTTGGCTCCAGTGCGCTGTTTCGCAAACTATGGACTGGCGTCATCCTTCACATGACGCAGACTGCCCAGTGTCTCCTTCCTTGGCCTTCCCATGCCATGGCTGCACCATGCACATTCTATAAGCAGGTGTGGCAGAAGTAAATGAGCAGACAGAAGGCCAACATCATTATTATTGTTAATGCTACCTGGCATAAAAAGAGGGTTCCCACTGAAGCAGGAGTCCCTACCTTCTTGTGCAAGCGGGCACACTTGCAATTTTGAGAAAATGAGGTGGGCACTCTCACACTGGGGAGATGCTCATCGGTGAAGTGGCTGATCTGTGGCATGGCCAGTCAAGGATCACTCATTTCCCAAAAGGCAAACCAAAGGGCTCCAAGATGCAGTGATAGCTTGGCTCACAAACTTAAGCTGTCCCACTACTCTGGTCACTTGGGTCGCGAGCCAACTCAAATTTCCCCATCAGGTTCAATGTAAATAAGTTTAATTCGAGCTGACCTCTACAAATGTGGTCACGAGTCAATTTTGTTCATAAGCCAAGTCAAATTTCCCCATAAGGTTCAACATAAATAAGGTTAATAGGTTCTGTAAATTTCTCTTTAATCACAAAAATTTGAAACAAAGTAATAGAACAACAAAGTAGCATAGTACAGTACAGTAGAGAACACTAAGCTAGGTGGGGGGAGGTTACTGTTTGGAGAGAGAGTCCAAACAATAATCGTGCGATAGCGATTGTACTGGAGGGGGGTGGGGAGTGGCCGCGATCGCGATCGTGCAGGGAAGATGGCAGCAACACCGCCACGATTGTGTTGTCACCCAGTGCGGCGTTCACGAACTGAGGCATGCTGTTTGTGACCTGCTTTGATCGTGAACTGAGGCGTTCGTGAGCCGAGATTCCACTGTAACTCTTCTGGACCCAAATAGCCAGCAAGGCTTTGGTTTGTAGCAGGCCGATTACTTTTTAATCGTAAGAAATATGGTTAAAATTTTAGGAGAGGCAGGAAGCCTAGCTTACCAAGTGTTTGTGTGCTCACTACTGCACCGATTTTGAACCTCCAAATCAACTAATTCATCCTGGAATGGGGAGGCCAAGGCCTGATACCGCCAGAGGCACTGACAGGTTTCAGACAACAGAACACTCAAGCCAGCCTTGCAGCTGAAACGCGTGTTTGAACTTAGCTAACAAGTCATGGATTCTCCAAACGGGTTGCTAATGGTAAACCAGCTGCAGCTCGCTGGAGAAGCTGCGTTCAGACAACAGAGTCACCCGTTCCCAGGGCCCCCCGCACGCGATGCGCGCCAGCCCTGCCGCGGGTTAGGGTGGCTGACGGACCCGCCTCCGGCAAGGACGCCGCTCCGGCGAAGAACCCGGCCCTTTCCGCACGGGGCTTCGAGGCGTCCGGCTGCCCGCCGGTGCCCGCGAGCCCCCGGCGCCTCCTGGAGCCGCCCCAGCAGGCCCTGGACTGCCCGGCAACACGCCGCGGGCGCAGGCGAAGGGCGGCGGAAGCAGCGCCGATCCACGGCGCCGCCCGGCCGCCGCTGCAGCCCGGGCAAGGCGGGCCGGGCCCGCAGACGCGTCGCCCGACGGCCCGGGGGACTCACCGGGGTTGGTGCTGGCCGCCGACGGGTTGACGCTGGCGCGGCCCTTGAAGCGCGGCTTCGCCATGGCTCCGGCTCCGACCCTGCCCGGCCCGCACAGAGACGCGCCGCCACGAGGCGCGGTGACGCACTTCCGCCGCGCCCCGCCCCGCCCCGCCCCGCCCCTTCCGTCGCGGGGCGGCGGGGCGTCCGGGGCCTCGGAGGCAGCGGGCGCTCGGACCGGTGGCGCCGGCGCCTCCGCCCCGCGGGAGGAGGCCGCCCGAGCCCGAGCGCGGGGAAAGGCCTCCGGCGCGCCCCGGGGAACGAGGCGCAGCGCTGCGCGGCGAGGAACACGCGGGGCCGGAAAGCGCCCCGCGCCTCTGCGTGGCGGCTCCCTGGACGGACGTTGGCTGCTGGTGCGAGGGTCCGTACTGTGCCTGCTTACTCTTGTTACACGTCCACAGTTTCTGCCATGCTGTTGCGTAGGCTTAAGTACTCTCAGTAAGTTGCCTATTTCTAGCTAACCCTAGACTGACTCACATAAAAGGAGAAAGCGCAAGCAATAATGCACATGTGCACACGCTGCGGTGGCCGTGTTTTTGGGTGCATACACCCCAATGAGCCATGGTGAAGTGTGGCGACCATGCAGCTGGTTCCAGAGAAACCAGTTGTACCACATGGTAGATCCAGGAACAGGGTTCAGACCACATGGCGATCCATCCCACAGTGGAATGCACCATGGTTGGTCGTTACATGTGAACCCAACCACTCTTTTTTCCTGTAGCTCACACAGCAGTGCAGAGGAACAAACTGCACTTCTTACTGCGAGCCTTAGTGTGCAGTCTTAGCAAGCCCAAAACTGAGCAACAGTTGTAAAATTATGTCCATGTGAGATATTCATATTTTCCAGTCACATGGACTCTTGAATGAGCTCAGACAGGTATTTAGTGCTGCCTCATTTAGGAAAACTTAAATTCCAGACAAACTGGGCTCCCAAAGCAAATGAACAGTCCATCAGGCCACTGAAAATATGTAACGCCCTCTTCCACTGCCCTCCTCTCTTGTCTGTACTAGGGGCAGGGCAAGCAGCCTGATCGTGAGAACCCTGGAAGCTGCTTTCTGCTTGGCCCATCCAGCCTGGCATTGCTGACACTGACTGGCGGCGGCAGCTCTCCCGGGTTTCAGGGAGGAATTCAAGCAGCCTTACCAGAGATGCCTAGGCTCAGACCTACAGCCTTCTGCATGTGAAGGAGGTGCTCTGCTGCTGGCCCCTCTGCAGCCTCTGCCCAACCAGGGACACATTTTATAAAGGCAGACTTGGAGTTAGCTTTCTGTGCAATAGGTGACATCTGGACTGGACAACTGTCATGTGGTTTATGCAGACAGAGCAACAGTCGGTCACCAGGGCAAGATGGTCAGCATCAGCATCGCAACTCTGGCTGAATCACCAAGTTGCAGGTGTTGCCTGGTCAAGTCCCAGGCAGCTTGGGACCCTGCGGTTTGATGGGCCTCCTTCACGCACAGCAGCCTTCCTGCCCCATGAGAACAGCTGGGGATCTCAGTGGTACCTTGGCTCACGAACTTGATCCATTTCAGGACTGTAGTCGTGACCCAAATTGGTCATGAGCCAAGTTAAATTTCCCCATAAGGTTCAATGTAAATAAGGTTAATCCATTCTGGAACCATTTTTTTTATCAGAAAAATGTGAAGAAGCAAAGTGACAAAGAACAACAAAGATCGCCATCTTCCCCTCTCCACCCCAAGCACAAGCACGGCCATCTCCCCGCCCCCCAGCAGGACCGAGATCACGCCCATCATCCCTGCACACGCCTGTCTTTCTGGCATGCTGGGTTGGGGAGGGATGGGTGCAATTGCAGGTGCACTGTGGGAGAGAGAGACGGGTGCGATCTCGGCCATCTCCCCCGCTGCCCCCAGCATGTTTGCGGCAATCTACCCACTGTGGGGGGGAGATGGCCATGATGTGCTGGTTGTGGGGAGGGAAGATGGCCGAGATTGGGCCCATCTTTCCTGCAGGAGCGCACCTGTGATCACGCACATCTTTCCTGCACGAATGCAACTGCAGTTGTGGCCATCAGGAGTTCACAACCCACATCAAAACTTTCATGAAATTTTTGTTCGCAACCCAATTTGGTCATAAACCAAGGTGTTCGTGAGCTGAGGTACCACTGTCTGCCTGTGCCAGCTCAGAGCTTTTGGACTCGCTCGGAGATCGTTTTCTCCAAGCAAGTCCAAAAGCTCTGAGGCGGGCCAGATAAAGGAGCATGGTGGGCCGTATCCGGCCCACAGGCTGTAGTTTGAGGACCCACGTTTTAACATTATTATTAAATACAATATTTAAATATTATGGGCATATTACCTCTTTGATTGCTTGGAAGGACAGTTGCCATAAAAGCTGTGTATAGATATTTTAAAACAATACAAAGGCTCTCTAGCTGGAGAAAGCAGTCATGCATTCAAACTGTTGAAGGTAGTTTGGAAAAGTGATTTCTGCTGCTTCTAAAGTATACCCTTCATTCATTTTCATTGTTGCCTCAGGCAACTAGAGGGCATGAATTTGCGGACTTTGAGACATAGCAGCCCTGGCATTGTCAATAAAAAAGCAGTTTGTAACTGTTCTGCCTCTGTCTTAGTTGATGGCTTTTTTCTGGTAGAAAACCATACAACAGCCCTGCCATCTCACAGCCATGAGAGACAGTGGTGATCATGTGAAGTGGGCCAGGTCTCTTTCCCTCCTCCCATTTTCACAGATTTGCAGAACAGCTGGGTCAGAAGGGGCCAAGAAGGCCATCAAGTCCAACTCCCTACTAGTGCAGGATGCCAGTTACACCAGCCCAATCAGATAATTGTCCAATTGCTTCTAGAGTGCATCTGGTGTGGAAGGGCACACAACTGCTCTTGGCAGCTGGTTTCACTGTCATACTGCTCTCACAGTCTGGAAATTCATCCTAGTCTGGCCCTTTTTCTCTCTACCCCTTTGTGCCCACCCTTTCTTCCCAGAACAGGAAGGCTGCTTCACATTTACAGCATACTATTACATGTGTAACGCAGAGGCAGTGCAGTATCTGTTCCTTCAGACAGTCAGGACCCCGAGGGGGTGGAATCCGCTTCCCCGGAGGTGGCTGAGGCCCCATCGGTGCGGGTGTCCAAGGACAGGCTGGACATGCTCATGGTGGGCATGTCATGAGCGGAGCCAGCTGGAGCTGGGGGTCAGACTAGATGGCCCGGGAGGCCCCTTCTGACTCGCTCTGTTTCTGTGTTTCTGAGTACAAAGATACTTAAATATTTTGTCTAAATATCGGGCTTCTAACTCTTAAAGGAATGACTTCTGAGTTCTTCTTTTTCTCTTGCTTTGATAGCCAGTGTGATGTAGTGGTTAAGTATGTGAGACAGAGACTCAGGTGATCTGGGTTCTAGTCCCCACCCAGCCATGAAGCTCACTGTGTGACTTTGGGCCAGTCACAGACTCTCAGCCCAGCCTACCTCCTTGGGTTGTGGTGAGTATGAGACTAAGGAATTATGTAAACTGCCTTCAGTTCCTTGAAAGAGGAAAAGGTAAGATACTAATAGAAAGAGAGAGAGAATCACTTCTCCTGTGTTCTTGAGGGAGTCTTCTAAAGAATCATGAATGAATTACTTCTTGCTCTGCTTAATGGGTAAACCGAGATTTCTCTCTAGTGAAAATATTTCTTTGTAGCATAAACATGAACAAGCAAGATATACACACGCCCAACTTTGCTATGGAGGCAGAAGATTAGGAAATTGTTATGGGGTGGTTCAAGTTAAATCTGGCTTTCTGGTGGAATTGGTGAACAGTGGGATTTGTATTAAAGAAGGATGGGAAAAGATAACTCGGTCAGTCACTGTTTACTGCATGGATCCTCAAACTAAGGCCAGATCCGGCCCGCCATGCCCTTTTAACCAGCCCCCACAGGTTTTACACTCAGTGGGCGCGTGCGCGGCTTGCTCGCAAGGAGGTCGTTTTGGAAATGCTTGGATAAAACATTCTCCTCATGAGCAAGTCGGCCCCTTGCCCAGCGGCAGCTTGCTTGTGGGCAGATTGTTTTGGACTCGATTGGAGAAAATTATCTCCCCACAAGCAAGCCGGCACCTCGCTGTGCTCACACCCAGTGGCAGCTTGCTCGCGAGGAGGTCGTTTTGGACTCGCTCAGAAACAATCTCCTCACAAGCAAGTCGGCACCTCGCTTCATGTGCCCCCCCCACCCCGTCTCCACCTCACCTCACGTGCATGTGTGTGCCCGCCCCACACCGGCCTGCTCCTCCCCGCCAGCACTGCCTTGGCGGCCCACGGCCACTGCTGGCACCCGTCAACTGGCCCCCTGTTTAAAAAGTTTGGAGACCCCTGGTTTACTGGATGTTGGATTGAACCTCTGAATAGGTTACTTTGGAGAGGGGAAAAAGAGAGACCAATGCCTTGCATTATACTTCATTTTTCTTGTATTTTTTTAATTCTCTACAACTTGGTTCTGTTTATATGAATTTTCATCCATAACCTTGCTAAATGTATTTCATTGTGACGGTTTCTTGGGGTGTTTCCAGACAGAGCTTTTATGGTGCAACCACTCTGTCTAATTCACGGAATTTTATGTGAGGCACAGAAGTTATAATCTGCCTCTTGTGTTTTTTCTGCTACTTCCCCCTTCTTTTCTTTCCACAGGAAGACGGTTAAGGAGGGGACATGGAATACCTGTGCGATGTTCATGGATTAGTACCTCTCAGAGCCCCCCTTCCCCTGCCCTGGAACCACCATTAGTCCTGCATACATATTCTGAGAGACGTTTTATGTGTGGATATAATGGATCCACTTGTCCCACAAAAGTCCTGCCTTCGGTGCACAAAAAAGAAGGGAGAAATTCACTCCAGGCTTTGGTTGAGGCAAAAGCACAGAGTTGTGCTTCAGTTTCCTTTTGGAGATGTGGCAGATGAGCCCAAGGGAAGAATGACAAAAAGGTGCCAGCTGCAGGAATCTCACAGTCCTTCCCAAGGGGCTGCCAAAAGCAAGTCTCCCCTTGCCTAAAGGCATGTCACGGAAAGAAGCACGGCAGATGCCGAGCAGCCAGTTTGCTTCCATGGAGAGCTTCTGCCGAAGCACTGCTGAGCGCTTCCGCAGCGTGTCTGTGCCTGGTACCAGCACTAGCGTGATGGTCTTTCAGTGCTGGGCTGCTCCATTGCCACAGTGCCCTGCAAAGTGCCTCTTCTCCGAGCTTCAGCTCCCAGTGGAGCCATTCCGAGGAACAGGCACCTGGTCACCTGAGCCCTCCCGCAAAGGCTCTTGCTCTGCCCAAAGGACCGAGCGCTCCACAGGCTCGCAGGCCGCTGCTGAGAGATGCAGCAGAAGCGAGCGCCACGCCTCTTGTTTGCTGGGAGAAGAAAATGCAGCACAAGCTGAGGCAGCCTTCCTTGGCTTTCGCCCCAGAATCTCTGCATAGTTCAAGGGCTGGCCCTGGAGGAGTGCCTGCCACATGTAGCCTCGTACGCTGATGAAATGGAATCCCCTCTGGGAGACTGGATGGCACTGTCTTCACCTAAGTACAAAGAAGCGGGAGCTGCTTGGGAGCGAGCCGTCCAGGGAAGCCTGGGGCAGCCCTTGAATTGGCACAGCTGCACAGCTCCCACACACCGGGTGGAGAGGCAAGTCAGCTGCCCTGTCCTGGGCGTGCAGCTGCCCTGGCTGTGAACAGAAACAACCACGGAAACGCCTAGTTTGGCAACCGAGCTGGCAGCATCCAGCAAAGAGAAGAGGCGACCTGGCTTGGCATGGCTGGGACACACCAGAGGAAGCCTCTGGCAGCTTTTGCTCATTTCCTCCGTGCGCATAAAAGTCACTGCTAGGGGGGCACTCGGGAGACAGGCTCCTGCACGAGCCGTTGCTCATCCGAGGGTCTGTGCAGGAGTGCCTGCTCCCAATGGCGGCTGTGTGCTTTCCATCTTCCTAGACCTGTGTGGCACATTAGCAAGTGCAAATTCTGCGTGCCCTGCTGCGCTCTGCACGCGTGTCTTTCTCAAACACACAAGGGATGGACGTGCCTGTGCTCCTCTGAATGCTTCTGCCCTCCCTATCAAAGCCTGGCTGCTGGGCCTGTTTTAATTCTTGGTGTATTGAAGGGATCTTGCCTCTCTCACCTGACAAGAGTATTATATATTGTACATAAAGCCAGTTTCTTCAGTCTGGACACCCAGGAGGCCCCAGCCTTCCCACCATTGCAAAGAAGAGGCCATTTCAGCAGCCACAGGCTGGCATGGCAGTGCTGCAAGGGTGAAGAAAGTGGCACCAGTGGACCTCCTGGCCACGCAGGAGCGCTCACGCTGAATGATCCGTCCTCCCCGGTTCCAGGGCGTCGGCCAGCTCTCGTAAAAGCCTCCCTGTCTGGAGATGGTTGCCACAGGGACATGCTGTGCTCCAGTGGCTAAGGATGCCCCCCATACTGAGGAGGGGGTTTTGTGTGGATCCGTGCTGCCCATGAGTATCCCTGCCTGCCTCCAGGGTTACCCAGGACCAGCCCTGTGGCTCCTTTGCTGGACTGGTTGCTTAGAAAGGCCTGAAGCAGCGAGAGAGATGCAGCTACTGCATTTCCTCACCCCAGCCCCCAGCCCTGCTTTTTCACTGGCCGCTTTGGCCCCTGCCCGCTTTCTCAATCAGGGTTTTTTTTTCCAACAGCACATGCTCTGTTTCAGGGGAGTGCCATTTAGATGGCTTCTGTTACAAATACGTGTCTTGGATTTGTGAGATGTGGCATTCTGCCAGAACAAGATGGTGTTCTAGGAGGCTGCAGTGTCATTAGGCAGAAGAGGAAGGACCGCTCAACCCTTCCTGGACAGCTTTGATTACGTTGCCACTGCTTAATAGTGCCCCCCTTTTAGCCTTTCAGAACATTGTTATAAAAGAGAAAGTTTGGATCCTTCAGGATCACCCTAGTCCTTCCTTGAAGTATGAAGGCACTGTTTCTGCAGTTTTCATATGGAGGAAGATGCACAAACACAGGAGCTGAATTCTTTCTTTTCATTTTAAATTTACATTGTAAAGCAATTTCAGAGCAGACACCCCTGAACAATAATCACAAACATTATACACATATTCTCAGTGATACAATCTGTATCACAGTAGAGCAGACTGGAAAGAAAGCTTTTGTGCATTCCCAGACTTGCAGCGAACTAATTCCATTGTGTACTGGAAGCTGCATCGCACAGTACTTCTTCAGCTGGAGTTGTTCTGCCAGTGGGCCTCCTTGCGGGAGCTGCTTTCTTCCTTTCGTCGAGCTGCTGTGCCCTTGATGAATCACACCCCATACTTGTGCTGTGCTGAACGCAGGAGGGCCTGCCTGCCTTTGGGATATGCCTGCCCACCCAGCCACGCTTGCCCGGTTGCAGCACACCGTTCTGGTTCAAGTAAAGCTTTCCTTCATACACGTAGCAGCAGCAGTGGAGAGTTGCCATCCCAGAGCAGTGGAGGGACAACTACGGAGCAGAGGTCCCTGGCACAGCCGTTCCCCTGGGCTGGCCTTTCCGCCTCTTGACGCCGGGCCTGCCTTCTTTGGCATCTTTCCGGTTCCTGTCCTCATTCCTGTCCTCCTGCTTACCTTGCTCTTCCTTCTTCTTTTTCCATCCTGCAGCCAAGCAAAAGAATCACAGTGAGGCAGATCGGCACAACAAATTGCTTGCCGGTTGGATTTAGCGTGGGGCTCCTGGAAACTCAAAAATGGGGTGGAGCCACTCAACATCTGACAACATGACTGGAAAAGCTGCCAGAGGATGAGCGAGAGGGAGCAGCCTTGCTTTCTGTGCCATACTATTTGCTACCTAGGGCCGAAATGCTCTGCAATGGCCATTCATTCATGCTCTTAACTGAGCATGATGGAGCACAGTCCAGTGGCTCCAAAACCGGGGCATCATGCTTTGTCTAGCCTTTATGAAGTAAGTGGCAATTTTGTATAAGATTTTTGTGTAAGATTTTTCTTAGCCACCTTTCAAGGTAGGAGCCTTCCCAGGACAACATAAGACAGTAAAATCCACATGATTAAAAAGAGTAGCAAGAACTGTGAGTGTGCGTGTGCACGCACACACACAACAGACAAAATCCACAGCAAACAAATGCAGCTCCAGTCCACTCCAATTAAGGGTAATCATGAGATGACCAGAGAAAGTAGTAAGTCTTCAGGGCTTTCCTGGGACCTGAGACGCCCCAGTGAAACTCACTCCAGAAGTGCCCAGCCGCTGCAGAAAAGCCCTTCTCAAGTACCGTGACTCACCTCACTCTCGGAGATGGACAAAGGGGAAGAGCCTCTTTTGCTGACCTTGAAGTGCCTGCAAACCGATACGGGCGAAGCAAGAATTCCCAAGTAGATTTGACACCTTTCTGGACATGGCCTTTCCCTGGGCTTCCTTTGGCCTAGTATCCAGGAGGACCCCCTGATGACATGCTGTGTCATCCTTTAGGGGAACCCTCCTGACTCCAGCTGTAAGCCTCCACCCTGGGTGGCTGGTTTCACAGTCCATAATGCAGCCATCAAGCCTGGGTTTTCAGTGCACCCTCCCTGAGAACAGCCTTCAGGGGCTTCCTGGAGCGTTCACATCCTCGTGTCAGTAGAAATGTGAGGACAGCTGCAACTGGTGGCCCCCGCAGCCCAGGCCTCTCTGCTTCCCCCAGGCCGAATGGAGCCTTCGCCCCCCAGCCAACAGCCGCGGAGTGTCGCCAAAGTTCCCCCAGCGCCACCTCCCGAGGCTGCTTCTCCGGGGAGGGCCGGACCCGCCTTCGCAGTGCACCCCGAAGCCCCACCCGGAGACCCGGTCTGGAGGGCCACTGTGGTCCGGCAACACCAGACAGATTTGACTCGAGGCCGTGGATACCCCAAATGATGGTC